TTTTATGACTGTTTTTGCCAGTTAAGCAAATCATTGCAGTTGTGAAGTGAATCATATATTCGTTAAGCAAATCTGGCTTCCCCCCATTGACTTTGTCAGAAGCTGCTGGGAAGGTTACAAATTGGGATCACATGACCCAGGGACGCTGTAAGGTAAAGGTCGTAAGTCACATGTGCTAGTCGTTCCTGACTCTAGGGGGCGGTGCTCATCTCTGTTTCAAAGCCGAAGAGCCAGCACTGTCCGAAGACGTCTCTGTGGTCATGTGGCCGGTATGACTAAATGCCAAAGGAGCACAGAACGCTGTTCCCTTCCCACCAAAGTGGTCCCTATTTTTCTACTGGCATTTTTTATGCGCTTTCAAACTGCTAGGTTGGCAGAAGCTGGGACAAGTAACGGGAGCTCACCCCGTTCTGCGACACTAGGGATTCAAACCGCTGAACTGCCAACCTTTCGATTGACAAGCTCAGCGTCTTAGCCACTGAAGCACCGCGTCCCTGATATGCGACGCTGCAACCGTCATAAATACATGGCAGTTGCCAAGCGTCTGGATTTTGATCACATGACCGTGGAGTGCTCCAACAGTGGAGTGAAAAGTGGTCGTATGTCTGAGGTCCCCAATCCCTGGGTTGCGGCCTACTATCGGGCCTGTTCAAAACTGGGCCATGTGAATGTCTGGACAGCATGTGCAATTTAACTTGTGTGAGCAATGGGCCGATGTGTGCACTTGTGCAGCTCGCCTTGTGCAACCGGCTGGCCAGTTGCCCTCTCTCCCCCACTGCTCATCGGGCCGCCCAGCCATAAAGGTTGGGAATTATTGTCATAAGTCCAATGGTGGGATTCAGCCGGTTCGGGCTGGTTCGGGAGAACCGGTAGTTAAATTGCTGGCTGGCTCCGCCCCTCCCTACCCCGCCCCTTCCAGGAGTGCCCAGGTGCCCCATTTTGGCTCAGGTAAGTGCCCCCAAAATGGGGCACAAGGGGAGCAGCGCCCCCCACCCCAAGTGGCCCATTTTCACTCCCAGGTTGCTTCAGGGAGGCCTCCTAAAAACGGTTCCCTGTGACCCATTTTTGCTCCCAGGATGATGCTGCCTGTCACATACCCCTGGCCACACCCACCCAGGAAGTCATTAGGGCAGAGAACCGGTTGTTAAATTATTTGAATCCTATAAGTCACTTTTTTCAGTGCCATTGTAACTTCGGTCGCTAAACAAATAGTTATAAGTCAAGGACTACCTTCATGCTGTTTGTTTTGTATTCCTGGAGAAACTTGGCTGGTGTTTTAGCAGCTGTGTTTCCGACAAAGCCAGGACGAGAGCATCATCTAGTGGCAAAAATAAGTTATTTCTGCTGATTTGCTCTTGAATGGTGGACTCAGGTAGGGAGAACGGAGGGGCAGTTTATTGTCTCTTGATCGGCTACGATTTCAAGAGAAACCCCCCAGCTCATTCCTGGGGGGTTCTAGGCGTTTTAGCAATTCTGTGGCGGTTGGTTACATGCTCTTCGGTATATTAGTCCAGTTATGACTGTTTCCTCAATGATTGTTCAGTTATGACAGTATTGAAAAAACTGACTTAACCAATGGTTTTTGCAACTGCAGTCCTGGTGGTCATAGAACTCTTATTTGCGACCTTCCCAGGGGAACGTCCAACAAGCAAAGTCAATGCGGGGATTCCCTTTACGATTGCGTGTTTCATTTAACGACTGCAGGGACTATTTATTTATTTATTTTCAGTGGAAAAAAACAGGTTGCAAGATTGGGTGTAACTTATTAAATGAACGTTATCGCTTTGTGATCAAAGTACCCGTTCCAGGTGTGGTGGTTAAGTCCAAATATAATTTTCTTCTAAACAAGTCTACATTTCTCTATCCCAAGAGATCAGAAGATGTAGTGCAGAAGCCACATCTTAAAACTTCATCCCTAAACCACATCTGGATAGGGACACGGTGACTCAGTGGCTAAGAGGCCGAGCTTGTCGATCGAAAGATCGGCAGTTCAGCGGTTCGAATCCCTAGTGCCGCGTAATGGGTGAGCTCTCGTGACTTGTCCCAGTTTGAAAGCAGTTCGAAAGCAGGTAAAAAATGCAAATAGAAAAATAGGGACCACCTTTGGTGGGAAGGTAACAGTGTTTCGTGCACCTTTGGTGTTGAGTCATGCTGGCCACATGATCACGGAGACGTCTTCAGACAGCGCTGCCTCTTCGGCTTTGAAACAGAGATGAGCACCGCCCCCTAGAGTCGGGAACGACTAGCACATATGTGTGAGGGGAACCTTTACCTTAACCACATCTAGCCACAAAACCAGTTCTGAACCTGGCACCTTATCTAGGATTTGCCCATTGGAAACTTTTAGGGAATTTGCTATACACGAAGTAACAGTGAGTTTTTGGTAACACTCTTCCTCTGTTTATAGGTGTTTGTGTGTGCAGCCGATGTAGGTACAGTTGTCTCTTGAATGAATGGTGTCTTTTGAGAAACTGCTTCCGTATAAGTTTTCAAAATGAGAAAACCCCAAAGAGGAGGAGACAGAAAGCATTTTACAAAGCTTTGGGTATTTCATTCTTTCAAATAAATAATGTTCCTTCTGGCTTTCTGAAATGCAGTTCTGTTAAAATAAATGAGAAGAAACATATTGTGAACGAGAAAACTTTCCCAGTTTCCAGTTAGAGAATAGAGTTGGAAGGGACTTTGGAGGACTTTTAGTCCAACCCCCTGTTCAAGCAGGATCAGTGGATCAGTGTTTTTTTCTCAAGAGCAGCAATTTTAAGATTTGCGGACTTCAACTCCCAGAATTCTCCAGCCAGCTGGGGAATTCAGGGAGTTGAAGTCCACACACCAGTTGCCAAGTTTGAGAAAAGGTTAAACAGCAGCGGGTCTAATTTGCATCCTTGCCTGACCCCTATATGGGTAGAATATTCTTTGTTACGTCCCCACCGCTATTATCCTGGATCACTGACAGTGCCTTTGTGTAATCAGACAATTATTTCTGGAGGCTGCTTGTTTTCTCCAGTTGCTCAAGGGACATAGCCTTAAATGTCACCCTTAATTTCACTCTGTATATGGTGGTGATCCGAATCATAACTCCAGTGATTAGAAAGTTTAATGTCCTTCATGACGAGATCACTGCTTTCCTTTTAAGTGACCCATGTTTAAACGTCTCAAGGGCAGAGACGACATTTTTAATCTATCGCTTTTTTAATTCCTATGGCTTAAAGGAATGGATGGATGCTTTTATCACAGCTTCGTTTCCGGCTTCTGTGGTCTACAGATAACCGAACAACAAAGTTGGAAGGGACCTTGGAGGTCTTCTAGTCCAACCCCTTGCTCAAGCAGGAGACCCTAGTCCATTTCAGACAAGTGACAGTCCAGTCTCTTCTTAAAAATCTCTAGGGAATGGAGCACCCACAATTTCTGGAGGGTAGGTAGGTACATAGATAGAAAAATAGATGATAGGTAGGTAGGTAGGTAGGTAGATAGATAAAGAGACAGACAGACAAAGAGATAGAATAGAGTGGCGTGGTGGACAAGTAGTGAAGTTGCTGGCCTCCCACTCAGAAGATGGAGAGTTCAATCCTAGGTAGCAGCAGATGGTTCCCAGAGCACAAAGAAAAAAATATCTGTTGCAAACTCCACATGGTGTCAGGAAGGGCATCCGGCTAGTAAATGCTCAGCTCCGTTCAGTCGCCGTGACTCTGCCCCAAATTAAGAGATTACAGTGTCGTATAAAGGAAGTGTTTTAGACAAAGATAGCCAGAATTATATAAAAAGATACAGGTAAGTAGTTATAGTCAGATACGATCAGGGGTGGGGTGCTTGGGGTTCGGGAGAACCTCTAGCTAAGATTCTGTGCAGTTCGGAGAACCCCCAAATCCTACTCCCATCCCTCCCCTCCTCTCCCCGGAGTCCCCATGCGGCCCATTTTGGATGCAGGGAAGTACAGAGTGTGCACGGAGGCTCAGGGAGTGCAAAGAACGGGCCTACCAGAAGTTTGGGAAGGCCAGCCTCTGGAGGTTGGGGAGGCTGCTTTCGCCCTCCCGGAGGCTCAAAAAAAGCCTCCAGAGGCGGGGGAGGGCGAACACCCCCCCCCCCTGGTGCAGGAGGCCAACTAGACCATGCCTATCCAGCAACCGGGCAGAGCAACTCCTTGCTAAAATTTTTGAAGCCCACCCCTGGATACAATAGGTAGGTAGCAGAGGTGGGTTTCAGCAGGTTCTGACCAGTTCTGGAGAACTGGTATCAGAAATTTTGAGTAGTTCAGAGAACTGGTAGTAAAAATTCTGATTGGCCCTGCCCCCATCTATTCTCTGCCTCCCAAGTCCCAGCTGATCGGGAGGGAATGGGGATTTTGCAGTAACCTTCCCCTGGAGTGGGGACGGAATGGAGATTTTACAGTACCCATCCCATGCCACGCCCACCAAGCCACGCCCACAGAACCAGTAGTAAAAAATTTTGAAACCCACCACTGGTAGGTAGGTAGGTCGGTTGATAATGAATGGATGGTAATGATGGATGGATGGATGGATGGATGGACAGATAGAACAGATTTAACATTTGTTGATTTGCTCTTGGAATGTACACTGCTCAAAAAAATAAAGGGAACACAAGCAGAAGACATCCGAGATCTGAATGAATGAAATAGCCTTATTAAATACTTCGTTCTTTACATATAGTTTATACACTGCTCAAAAAACTAAAGGGAACACAAAACTACTGTATGTAACGAACAAAGTATTTAATAAGGCTATTTCATTCATTCAGATCTCGGATGTCTTCTGCTTGCATCCCCTTTATTTTTTTGAGCAGCATATATTAAATAAACATGTGTGGTGTTCCAAAAACAGTTGGAGCTCTTTCAGTTGGGAGCTCTTTCTAAACTTTCTCACCATAACCAGGCCATCCCCCGACTGACTCTGAAGGTCCGTTCTGAAAGTGACTGTGAGAACAATGGAAGGAACTTGCAGGAGGAGAACGTATCCCCAGGACAAAGCACCGACACTACTGCTTCCTTAAGGTGGAACCATTTTTATTTGACACAGACAGGTATTTTGATAAAAATCTGTATTTTTGAAACCACTTTCTTTCCAATGGTCTCCATGCTCCAGAAGTTAACTTTCCTTTCCCAATCTTAATCTCTAAGCTATTTACATCTTCAACTACCTTAGGAAAGCAAAACCTTTTTATTGTAAGGGTACAACATGGCGATTCTATCCAAAGCTACCAAAAAAAAAAAAAAAAAAAGAATGCTTATGTGAAACTGGAAAACAATAAACATTGGAGGGAACTGCGATATATATATTTTGCAAGAACAGATGTCACAGGCCACGTTAGTTTGCTAAAACACACTGACCGGATTAACCTGTGAGTGTGTGTGTATGCTGGTGTGTAGGAATACCACACTGACAATTCCTCTTCTGTTTACAATGTTAAAGCTTATGTTATTTCACAGTTATGCTGTCACTCAAATACACATTTTTTTCTACCTTCGTATATTGATAAAACGACAACTGAACAAATCACAACGGCTTGCAAATCTTGCTATCTTTCACCCCAAACAAGAGAAAAGGCTCCATAAGATCCTTGGTTTTTTTTGTTTTGTTTTTTCTAAGTGCTGGAAAAAAGAAAAAAAGAATTCTTAGATTGTTTTTAACAAAGGAGATGATGAAGAAAAAGCTTTACACCATAAAACTCTGATCGTTCGCTCTTAAGAAAAAGAAACAGCCCAAGAACAAGTGGAAAGAAGTAAAGTTGATGAAAAGAATGCCTCTTTGGGGTCAGAATTTATTAACACCAAAAGAAGAACGTTTACTGAACATTAAATTAAGATTAAATTTAAATTTAATCTTACGTGAAGATTAAACCCAAGTCGCAGAGAAGAATTTCATAGGTTCTTTGATAAAACTTGCTTTCTGGACAATTAAAACTTGAGCCTGACCACAGGGAAGAAGACACCTATGAGGTCAAACTTGATGGGCCGCTCACCCAAAATGAGGACAGCCCAAAAGGCCCAACAGACCGACTCTGTCGAAGAAAAGCAATACGGAGCATTGAACAATTAACAGCATCGTTCAGAGCAAAATGAAAGATACCGAAGGAATTCAGCACAGTTAACTGCATTACCGAGAACAGAGCTCTACAAAATGATCGTTTGCTATGGTTGACACAAAGCTTCAGATGACACAACATGGAACGCAACATTTCACATGCAGTGCCTACTAGACTAAGGGGCCGGGGTCTCTCCCCTGATGGGAATAATCACAAAGCACAAGTTTATTCGGCTCCCGGTAAGCCCGCAGGACATCGTCGCTTTACTTCAGAACGAGGAGAGTTGCTTTGCCAGAGCTAAAAATGGGGTGGTGTTTTTCTTTTTTTTGGCCTGCATTTCAGCTTAAAATTAAAAACAAAATAATAGTATCAACCTCTGGTTCACTGTTTTCTAACTTAAAAGCAGCCAAACCGCGAACATTGAGAAGTTAAATGAAGTTAAAACGTTCCACAGGAAATCTAAAGCAAACTGAAAACTATCTTCGGGTCCCCCTTGGGAAATATTGGGTTTTTCTGTCCAATATTTCATTGGAAGGGGGGGGGGGGGAGAGAAAAAAAATCCCTAAAATTTTAATGAGAGTTCCTGCTTCTGCTCACTCTAAATCCCAACCCCAAAACCAATCTACTTTCCAGAAGAAGGATTTGTGTGTTACGGGACATTTAAGAAACCTTGTGCCATGTTTTCAAAGTAGCCGCTATAAAAAAAAAAAGAGAGGGGGAAAGGGAGCCTAACATGAGTTTTTAGCCTTTCTGCTAAAGCAGAAGACCTTGGGGTGGTGGGGTGGAGTGGTGGGATAAAGACACAAGAGCCCACCCACCCACTCGTTGTTTTCTCCAGAGGCTTCCTGTTTGGATAACTAACTACCTGAATTCAAACAAGGTGCCCGATTTTCTCTCCATGACATACTTGATTGATAAGAGACCTTCGGAAAAAAGACCTTCGGTTGGTTTGAAGGAACTGTTTTCCTTCTCTTGTTTTCGTCTCCTTCTTCATCACCTGAAATCCGTGTGGGGAATGATAAATCCCAGCCAATCTTCAGGCGAGCCTATGAAAAAAGTCAAGACTTCTGCAGCGTTAAGAAGTCGTGATTTGACCGTCCTTGCTTAAGCCGCAAGCGGCCTTTTTTCTCTCTCTCTCCTTTTTTTTTAATCATACAGGAGAATCTCTTCTGGGTTTTTTTTTTTTTCCAGATCGTCGTCGTCTGGGGAATCGTTCCCCTTCTTGCAAAAGCTCTGCTTAAACATCTGATGGGAAGGCAGCCCTAGTGGGTTCAGCTGAGGCCAGCCTCCGAGCCCCACTCGCCGATAAAAGATTTATTTATATTTATTTTATTTTTCCAGTGGGTTGTTGTTGTAGGTGCCAGGACTGAGCGGGTCCAATTCAACGCAACGATTTTCTGGGTTTTTTTTTTCCCCCGAGGCATTTGGGTCCCGTCAAACTAATTCCCGAAACTGCTTCCTGGAAGAGAGAGAGGAACGAACGAACAAACAAACAAACAAACAAGCAAACAAACAGTGGAGATATTCACAAATATTTCAGCAAATGTGTGATTTTCCTTTCAGGGTTTTTTTTTTTTAAATCGGCACGAAACCCCTCACTTCCGTCAGATATACGGGATCGGCTTGCCGCACTCTCTTCCCCACCAAGGAAGTCCTGCTTAGGACAAAACCAGAGCGCACAAATCAAGGGAAAGGATCTGGGGGTGGTGGAAAAAAAAGAGGCTATCCCATTATTTTTAAATTCCTGGCAGCCGTGTACCCCCAGTTTAGCTCTCACCACACTCGGGTGGTTTGTGTGAAAAGGCAAGCAAGTGGCCTTGTGTTTGTCAGCCCTGCTGAGTGTTTTATTGTCCTGCCTCCCTCCCTGATGATCGGCTTCCCAAGGCTCCTATTTCTCTCTATAATAAAGCAGATAATATTTCAAAGGATCGGGGAGAGGCAGGCCGAGTATTTTTTCTCTCAAGGTGTTTGTAGCCGGTTCGGGCTTCAGTTCCGGCATAGGTTTCTCCACCTCTTCCCTGCAATCTTCTTCCAATTCCTCACAATTATTATCCTCCAAAGGGTTGGAGATCCGGCTCGCAAAGACCTCTTTGTCCAAGAAGACGATGGTTTCCATCCGGCGGTGCCGGATGCGCCGCCGTTTAAACCTCGGGGGGTTTCGGAGGCCGTTTCCGTTTTTGCTGGCTGTTTCTTGATGGATCAGCTTTTTAATGGTGCCGCGGATGGCGATGCGAGCCAGGTCCTGTAGGCTGCGAACCGACACCGGGGCTGGAAACGGGAAAGAGGAGAAGGGAACAGGTGAGGGAATCCGCCTTGGAGCCAGAAATTATACCTGGCTCGGGTTAGAACAGTGGTTAGGGTTAGGGGCCCACACCCCATGGAGGGGGGCAATTTGATTTTTAATGGGGGCAATTTGAACCTTGTTTAAACCAAATTAATGGCCTTTAAGGCTTCCTCCGCGTGAGTAGAGTTCACTTTTTGAGTAAAGTAAGAATTATATGTCACGGGGGGCTGGGCCATAAGGATTTTAGAGATGCTTAGGTGGGGCATGGCCAAAAAAAGGTTGGGAACCACTGGGTTAGAAGAAACTAAACTGATAGAACAGATGTTTAACAGATTAACAGAGTTGGAAGGGACCTTATAGGTCATCTAGTCCAACCCCCTGCCCAAGCAGGAGATTTACACCATTTCTGACAAATGGCACTCCAGTCTCTTCTTGAAAGCCTCCAGTGATGAAGCTCCCACAACTTCCGAAGGCAATTTCTGTTCCATGGGTTGATTGTTCTCACTGTCAGAAAATTTCTCCTAATTTCTAGGTTGAATCTCTCCTTGATCAGTTTCCATCCATTGTTTCTTTTCTGGCCTTGAGGTGCTTTGGAAAATAGCTTGACCCCCTCCTCTCTGTGGCAGCCCCTCAAATATTGGAAGACTGTTCTCATGTCTCCCCTGGTCCTTCTCTTCACTAGACTAGCCAGGCCCAGTTCCTGCAACCGTTCATTGTCTGTTTTAGCCTCCAGTCCCCTACAGAGAATCTCTGTAGCTCAGGGTTGAAATGTTGGGCGCTTGGTGCTCTCTGAGCTTGGTGGTGTTCTTGCAGACATGTCATTAGGAAACTAACAGAACAACGGAGTTGGAAGAGACCTTGGAGGTCTTCTAGTCCAACCCCTGCTCAAGAAGGAGTTCCTCTACCATTCCTATAACCAGAAACATTGGATACGACATTGGTAAGCAATACATTTCATAATAAATAATAAAAATAAATTCCGGACAAATGGCTGTCCAATCTCCTCTTAAAAACCTCCAGTGATGGAGCACCCAAAACTTCTGAAGGCAAGATGTTCTGCTGATTAATTGTTCTGACTGTAACATTACCTGCTCTAGAAGGAAGTGGGGATGCTCCCTTTTTATATACAAGTGATTTGTACCAAACGTAATCAAGGAACTACCAAGAACATTCCCACCAACACTGATAAGGCAAGCCCCTTGTATATATGCAGAGAGCAAACCCCCACTCCCTTCTAGCACTGATGATGTTACCTAGTTGGGTCATGCAATGTCTGCGAGAAAACAAGCAAGCCCAGAGAGCGCTAAGAACCCTTCGTGTCAACCCTGAGCTACAAATATTCTCCTTTATTCCTACCTCTTTGTGCCCAGATCCAAGCAGTGGCCTTTTGGAATGGACAGATTTTGTCAATAGACAGATTGAGATGTCTGGCTCAGAGAGCAGCAAGGACTCTACAGAAATTAAAACAATCAAAAAAAGGACAGCAATCTGATCAAGGTTCTGGAGGCCACTTGGATGCTATGTCTGGCAAGAACAGAGAGCTGATTGGTCTCTAGGACATCTTCCAAAGCAAGGAAGGACATAATGAGATCCCCTGAGCAATCATCATCAAGGAGTTACTGTAATAATGGCTGTCATGTAATCTGACCCTCTTCCCTGGCTTCCTGCTGTCTGAAATTGGCCCAGTCCTAAACAGATATAATAGTGGCCAAAATTGTGGAAACCTTTTGGGAAAAGTGTATTTTTGAGGTTTAATGGCTAATAACACCACTTTTTTTGGGGGGGGAGTTTCAAGATAATCCTATTCCACTGCTGGAATGGCCTGGGAATAGCCCAGACCTTTAACCCAATTAAAAATCTATTAAAGAAACTTGTTAGTCAGAAGCGACCCAGCAATAAAACCCAGTTAATAGAAGCCATCATTCAATCTTGGTTTCACATTTTAACAGCTGCAGAACTAAAAGACTTGGTTCAGTCCATGGGAAGACGTTGTAAGGCTATAATTCATGCTAAAGGTTACCCAACTAAGTATTAACTGACATGGTGATAATTTTTGTAGATCTCTTTTTTTCTACGTCTTTCACTTCCCTTCTTTATACTGTAACTGCTATTCTAATAGCAAATCCTTCATGAAAGTTATTGCATTACATCCTTGATTAAATTATCTTTCAACTGATATATAACTTTATGGTACTACTCAAAAAAGAAAAGAAAAAGTGGTGTTATTAGCTAGTTTTAGAAAATACACTTTTCCCAAAAGGTTTCCACAATTTTGACCACTATTGTAAATAGGTGCCGCTTCGGTGGGAAGGTCACAGCGCTCTGCGATGTCATGCTGGCCACATGACCATGGAAATGTCTTTGCATAGCAAGGCTGAACGAGCCTTGAAAGAGTTGGCAAGGACTAGCGGAGTATCTATGGAGGCGTAGTCAGTCATCCAGGTCACGGTTGTCCCAAAGGTGCTTTTTTTCTTTTTTTCAAGAAACTGGACTTTCTGGTTTTTCTTTGAAGACGTTTCGCTTCTTATCCAAGAAGCTTCTTCAGCTCTGACTGGGATGGTGGGGAATTTCAGAGCTGAAGCAGCTTTTTGGATGAGAAGTGAAACGCCTTAACAGAAAAAACAAAAAGTCCAGTTGCCTCTTGAAAAAAAAGCAAAAAAAAAAAAAGCAAAAAAGCACCTTTGGGACAACTAGCAGAGTAAACCCTGCAGGGACTCCTCATCTGTTTCAGATTAAAGGCTTCCTTTTGCATCCCAATTGGCCCCGCAGCATATTTAGCAAATAGCCAACGGAGGCATTCCTTTCCATATTCCCCATCGTGTGCTTACTTAACTCTCTTGCAATCTCTTCTTTTCGGATGAGCAAAAGTTGATTTTCCCCTTGCTAATGATCCCAGAACAGAGGTGAGGATTCCTAAGGGCGAGGGTGTGGAGAAAAGGGGCTGTAAAATTTACGGTACCCCTTTTCCCCACCTCCCTTGTGTGTCACGCCCAAAAGCTAAAAAATACTGGACGAAAATACATACTTGGTTGGAAAAAATGACAAAGCAACATATAGACTTGAAACCAGAGGTATTTTTGTTGGGCATTCTACCGGAAAAATATGAGAAAAAGATTATATATCTGGCCTTGCATATATTGACCGCAGCTAGAATTGTATTTGCACAATGGAAAAATGATGAGATTCCATCCGAGGGGAATGTAATTAAGAAAATATCAGAATGCGCAGAAATGGATAGGCTAACACTCACTATTAAGGATAAAGAAGAAACTGAATATTTTTTTATTTGGGATGTATTTTATCAATAGCTAGACAATAGAAAAAGAAGTTAGAAAGGAGGAGATATAAAAGAGGAAATATTAATGTGGAGAGTTGTTAAAGATGATGATGTTAAGTATTATTGTTATATTAATATTATATTATATTATATTATATTATATTATATTATATTATATTATTATTATGGTGATGAATACAACTAATATGTGGATTATAATTGTTTAAAAATAACTGTACCCAGATCACACACAGTTTGATGGAAATTGAATGTTATATAGCTGGCTGAGGAATCTGGGAGTTGAAGCCCACATGTCTTAAAGTTGCCAAGGTTAGAGACCCCTGAGCCAAACAATCCAGCCCATTATAGCAATGGAACAAGTGGTGGGTACACTGTGTATTTATTGATGTGCTTGTTTATAACCTGCCTTTATTATTTTTTATAAATAACTCAAGGCAGCAAACATTCTTAATACTCCTCCCTCCTCTTATTTATCCCCACAACCCTGTGAGGTGGGTTAGGCTGATGGAAAGGGAGCCGAAGTTATCCAGCTGCCTTTCATGCCTAAGGCGGGACTAGAACTCACAGTCTCCTGGTGATTGATCCAAAGTCCCCCAGCTACTTTTCATGCTTAAGGTGGGACTAGAACTTACAGTCTCCTGGTATTCACCCAAAGTCACCCAGCTGCCTTTCATGCCTAAATGGAACTAGAATTCACAGTCTCCCGGTGATTGATCCAAAGTCCCCCAGCTACTTTTCATGCTTTAGGCGGGACTAGAATTTACAGTCTCCTAGACCCAATCTTCAAAATGGAGCGAATCAACACATAAACAGATGGGTAGATGTGGCCGACTTACGCAAATGAACCAGTCTTGACTTCCCTGTATCTAAATGGTTGGGTTGGATTAGAGGAGCAAAGGAAACAGCCAAGATTTTTCTTGGTCTCCCAGGCGGAAGGGCCTGTTCGAGTAATCTTCGTCAGCTGCATGGAATGACAAAAGCAGAAGGTGAAACGTGTACTGCAGCAGAAATCACCAAACACAACCCCGTCCCCCCACATGTACGCACACACCGGGCAGAGAACCGGTTGCTAAAATTTTTCAATCCCACTCCTGTCTCCATCCCCCAGCTAACTCAGATCAGTTTAATCTCAGTGGTGCCCTTTCATTTGTTTCTTGGATATCAAGCCCGCTCTTTATGGAATTGACTGAACTCAAAATTTATCGGAGACAATAGAAGGCGCCCATCCCACCAGCAAACCTTCTCCTCCAGGGGCATGACAAGAATCCCCCCAACTTTCAGCAAGTTCTTCATGTAATCTTCGTGTTCCTTCTGGACGCCGGCTCCACAGTAGACGCGGTCGTATTGAGAGCATTCTGGAGAGATTTCTAAGCAGTTCCCAGAGACAAAGGACGGCTCGCAAAACTCAAACCTCGGAAGGAAGGAAGGTGGGTTGTGACTGAGACTTTCAACACGCCATGAGAATTCAGTTTGTTTTAGTTTAGATTTTTTTTTTAACCTCTCACCTTTTACAAATAACTCAAGATGGCGAACATATCCTAATAAATACTCCTTTCTTCTCCTCCCAGTCCCCGCAACAACAACAACCCTGTAAGGATGGGTGGGCTGAGAGAGTGGGACTGGCCCACCGTCACCCAGCTGGCTTTCAAACTAAGGTGGAACTAGAACTTGCAATCTCCTGGTGATTGGGCCAAAGTCACCCAGCCAGTTTACATGCCTAATCTGGGACTAGAACTCACTGTCTCCTGGTGATTGGCCCAAAGTCACCCAGCTGGTTTCCATGCCTAAAGGAAGGACTAGAACTCACAATATCTTGGTTACTAACCCTTCCCAACTGGGAAAAAGCAAAGGGACTGGCACTGAAAGACACAGGACTACCCATAATCTGCAGTGCTCATCTATCATTTACTCTCTTTATGGTGCTATTATCTCCAGATCTGTTATAACTGGCCCCCTCCAAAGACCTTGGCCAGTTTATACCGTTTCCCTGAAAATAAGGCCTATCCCCAAAATAAGCCCTAGCATGTTTTTACGCATGCACCTAATATAAGCCCTACCCCCCAAAATAAGCCCTACTTAAGAGCCTGTGCCCAGTCTGTCTGGTTGCTCACAGTGCCACAGCCATGAGTTGAGGTGGGGTGGTGCCCAATGCATCCTGCGCCAGCTTACCTCAGGGTCCCCGCAGCCTGGCCACCCATGACATCTGCCTCACCTCGTGGCAGCGGTGCATTGCTCGGCCTCCTGTTCTATTGTGGCCGCGAGCAAGCAGAAGAAAGGAGCCGGCGGTCATGCAGGGTCCTGCTGGACGTGGCTGCTAGAGTCACTGCTGCGAGACGAGGCAGGTGTCAGGGCATGGGTAGCCTAGCTGCGGGGGCCCTGGTGTAAGCCAGTGCAGGTGCATGGGGCAGTTCTACTCCCCCGCTCACAATGGTGGCACTGGCACACCGCACAGCCTCCTGTCCCGCCGCATGCAAGCAGAAGAAGTGGGCCTCCCATACATGGAAAATAAGCCCTAGTGCTTATTTTGAGATCCAAAAGAAAATAAGACCTGGTCATCCCACATACAATAACCGCCCACACAAAAACAGCCATAACAGCAAAATAAATAAATAAATAAATAAACATATTACAGGGATCCACTATAAACACAACCCTGAGAACAAAGCCAGCTCTTTCAGAACCGAAAGAGTGAGTTTTTTTGGCTTAGTTGGGTTGCTGAACAAGTGGCTGCTGAATGAGGATTACGTATGCCTGCCTTGGGTTCCCTTCCTTCTAGAACGAGGAATCTGAAGGGTAGGACTTTTTCTGAAAATCTGCTTTAATGCAACCTAAGCGACCCTCTCATCTTACTTGTCAAAGCTGTCACTTGTTCTGATGAAGAAGTCCAGTTTCTGCTTTGCATATTCTATAACATCCGCATGAAGCTCAACGCCATGGTTTATTCCAAAAGGACCTAGATGTTTAAGGAATGCAAAGAAGACAGTTATAAAAGGCAGACTGATTCAACCACTTCCTCCCGGCTTGAAAGTCAAACTAAGGCAGTGTTATTGCAATTTCACTGGCCTATAATGGGCAGGTACTCATTTAAAGCCATGTATAAATAAATTCTTTAGTTTTATTTCCTAGGAGAATTGAACTATGTAATGGATAAAAAGAGTACTTAGGAAGATCCTGGAAAAGATAATTAAAAAAAAACAACCCAGATCTGTGAACAACTAGACCCAAATAAAGTTATAACTAGTAGCCAGCATGGATTTGTTAAAAAACAGATGATGCCAAACCAATCTTATTTCTTTGTTTGATAAAGTCACTTAATCAGTAAACTGGAGAAATGCTGTGGACATAGTATACAGTAGTGTCCAAAATTGTGGAAAAATTTTGGGCAAAGTGTACAGCATTTTCTAAAACTAGCTAATAACACCACTTTTTTTTGCATTAGTACCATAAAATTATATATCAATGGAAAGATAATTTAATTAAGAATGTAATGCACTAATTTTTATGAAGGATTTGCTATTAGAACAGCAGTTACAGTATAAAGAAGAAAAGTGAAACACGTAGAAAAAATGAGATATACAAAAATTATCACCATGTCAGTTAATACTTAGTTGGGTAACCTTTAGCATGAATTACGGCCTTACACCGTCTTCCCATGGAGTGAACCAAGTTTTTGAGTTCTGCAGCTCTTATCATGTGAAACCAAGATTGAATGATGGCTTCTATTAACTGGGTTTTATTGCTGGGTCGCTTCTGACTAATAAGTTTCTTTAGTCGGCTCCACAGATTTTCAATTAGGGCTATTCCCAGGCCATTCCAGCAGTGGAATAGGATTATCTTGAAACTCCCCCCCCCCAAAAAAGTGGTGTTATTAGCCATCAAACCTCAAAAATACACTTTTCCCAAAAGGTTTCCACAATTCTGGCCACTACTGTATTTAGATTTCAGTAAGGCATTAGACAAAGTAGACCACAATCTACTTTCTTGGTAAGCTAGAAAAATATGCAATAGACAACATTTGTAGCTGGCTGACAAACTGTACTCAACAAGTAGTCCTTAATGTTTCTACATCCACATGGAGAGAAGTAAGCAGTGGGGTACCACAAGGCTTCGTCTTAGGCCCAGTTACTCTCCAATATCTTTATAAATGACTTAGATGAGGGAATAGAAGGGGAACTCATCAAATTTGCATATGATACTAAACTGGCAGGAATAGCCAACACCCCAGAAGACAAGTTCACGGTCCAAAAAGAAGCTTCTTGGATGAGAAGAGAAACGTTTTCAAAGGAAAAGAAAGCAAGGAAGTCCAGTTGCCTTTTGGAAAAACATCTCTGGGATAGTACAGGTAGTCCTCGACTTACGATCAAAATGTCCACTGCAAAGCAAGGTGGCTGTTAAGTGAGGTGCCTCCGATTTTACAACCTGCAGGGGCTAAGTGAATCACACGGTTGTTAAGAGACACAATGGTCACAAATTAAGGACTACCTATATGGAATAACTAACAAGGACACGGGAAAATTCTTTGTATTTCACTGGAAAAGCCAATCAAGCAATGAGGAAATGGAAGATGACGACACAGAGAGAGAGGGAATAAAGGCAGACGCAGAAAATATGATTTTGATATTTTTCTTCTTATTTTTTTTATAGTTTCACATTTTATTAGTTTATCAAAATGTAAAATACAAAAGAAAATAGAAATAATGGGAAATGAGGGGAAGAGAAGAGAAAATGGGAGGTAAAAGAGGAAAAAAAGGCGTTGACTTCCAACTGTTTTTAGCACAGTAGAAGATAACAATATTACAGCCTCAACTTTTTACTTTTACACATTAATATAGAACCAGCCATTTCTTTAGCAGCAGATCTATCTAATCAGGAAAACCAAAATTAAGTTTCATTTAATAATAATAATAATAATAATAATTTTATTTCTATACCGCCCTTCTCCCGAAGGACTCAGGGCGGTGTACGGCCTATTTAAAAACACAGACAAAACAGCAATATAAAATTTAAAATAATTAAATAAATTGGCTCAGATTTAAAACCCCCAAAAATTTAAATACCCCAATTTAAAACTATTGTGTTGATAGTCCGGCCTGGCGGAACAACAGGGTCTTCAGTGCGCAGCGAAACACCCGGAGGTCGGAGATCTTACAAATTTCCGGGGGCAGTTCGTTCCACAGGGCTGGGGTTCCCACAGAGAAGGCCCTCCCCCTGGGTGTCGCCAGCCGACATAACTTGGCCGATGCACCCGGAGGAGACCCTCTCTGTGGGAGCGAACTGATCGGTGGGAGGCTATTGGTGGCAGAAGACGGTCTCGGAGGTATCCGGGTCCTATGCCATGGAGCGCTTTAAAGGTGGTAACCAACACCTTGAATCGCACCCGGAAGACCACTGGGAGCCAGTGCAGCTCGCGCAGGAGGGGTGTCACATGGGCACAATGGGTTGCGCCCATAACCACCCGCGCGGCCGCATTCTGGACCAGTTGGAGCCTCCGAGTGCTCTTCAAGGGGAGCCCCATGTAGAGAGCATTACAATAGTCCAGCCGGGAGGTAACAAGGGCGTGAGTGACTGTGCGCAAGGCGTCCCGGTCCAGAAAGGGACGCAACTGGAGAATCAGGCGAACCTGATAAAAGGCCCCCCTGGCCACGGCCGTCATATGCTCTTCTAAAGACAGCCGCACGTCCAGGAAGACACCCAGATTGTGAGCCCTCTCTGTGGGGGGCAAAGATTCACCCCCAATAGTCAGCGATGGCACCTGCTGACTATATCAGGGCGCCGGAAGCCACAGCCACTCGGTCTTGGAGGGCTTGAGTCTGAGCCTGTTCCTCCCCATCCAGACCCGCACGGCCTCCAGGCAGCGAGACATCACATCAAGGGCATCGTTGGGGTGGTCTGGGGTGGAGATGTACAGCTGAGTATCATCAGCGTACTGATGGCACTTCATCCCAAAACCACGGATGATCTCACCCAGCGGCTTCACATAAATGTTGAACAGGAGGGGCGAGAGGACCGACCAGCATAATAATATATTTAAGCATAATATATTCTCTTCTTTGAATAATCAATTTAACCATCTTTGCTTTTTCTTTCTTGCTGTGGAAATAATAAATATTTGTTTGCACTTATAAACAATCACCATTTATATTAACAAATAATATATTAATATTATATTCTTTCAGATCCTTTAACCTTAAAGGGAAAAAAACACACTTTTTAAAAATTCATTTTAAAACACTAAACATTTCTTTAAAAACATTTCTGAAATCAGTAAATTCTGGTACATTTGTTTTTAAACTTCCTCTTAATTTTGATTTTTAAAAATCTCCTATTGATAGCATCTGAGTTTATAGCACTGAAAAAAGTGACTGATGACCATTTTTCACACTTATGACCATGGTCAGATGATCAAAATTTGGATGCTTGGCAACTGACTCATATTTATGACAGTTGCAATGTCACGGGTCATGGGATCTCCTTTTGCGACCTTCTGACAAGCAAAGTCAATGGGGAAGCCAGGTTCATTTAACAACTGGGTTACCAACATAACAATTTCAGTGATTCACCTAACACCTGTAATAAGACATGAGGTAAAATGAGGCAAAATTAATTTGACAAATGTTTTGCTTAGCAACAGAAATTTTGGGCTCAATCGTGGTTAGAATAGAATAGAATAGAATAGAATAGAATAGAATAGAATAGAATAGAATAGAATAGAATAGAAAATGGAATGGGAACAGAAGAGAACAGAACAGAAATATAGAAATACAGAATAGAATAGAATTAGAATAACAGAGTTGGAAGGGACCTTGGAGGTCTTCTAGTCCAACCTCCTGCTTAGGCAGGAAACTCTATACTATTTCAGACAAATGGTTGTCCAATCTCTTCTTAAAAATCTCCAATGTTGGAGTGTCACCAGCTTCTGAAGGTAAGCTATTCCACTGATAAACTGTTCTCACTGTCAGGAAATTTCTCCTTAGTTCTAGGTTGCTTCTCTCCTTGATTAGTTTCCATCCATGGCTTCTTCTCCTTCCCTCAGGTGCTTTGGAGAATAGCTTGACTCCCTCTTCTTTGTGGCAGCCCCTGAGATACTGGAAGACTGCTATCATGTCACCACTAGTCCTTCATCAAACTAGACATACCCAGTTCCTGCAACCGTTCTTCATATGTTTTAGCCTCCAGTCCAGTGGTGGGTTGCCCCCGGTTCGCACCGGTTCTATAGAACCGGTAGTAAAACCGGCGGGAGGCTCCGCCCACCGACCCCATCAAAACGCTTCTGCGCATGTGAAGAAGAGCGCGTATGTGTGCGAGCAAAGCGAGCGCACGCCCGTGGCCCCACTACAAACCGGTAGTAAAGGTAAGTAGAACCTACCCCTGCTCCAGTCCCCTAATCATCTTTGTTGCTCTTCTCTGCACTCTTTCTAGAGGCATAAATTGAGGACTACCCAGTATTCACCTTATCTTCAGTTTCGTAGAATATTTATAAAGATCCTAAACATTCCTCTAGATTCTAGAAACTCTTCTTTAGAGCACCGTTTACTGATGGGATTGTTATACACAAGGAGTAGTAGAAAGTGGCTTTTAACCGTTAGCTTTTCTTTAATTTTTTTTTCTCACTTTGCTAAACCTGAATAGAGAGACTGAAACTGGTTGGCTCTTTTCGTGCAGCACAGACAACTTTCTTAGCTTTTGAATGTGCTTTTAGTACTTTCGTAATAACCTCTGCAGATGTTTGCGCGCAGGGAGGATCCACAGGTCACCCAGACCTGTTTTGCTGGGCTGTGCTGACATACAAAGTAGGGCAAAACAACAATTAATGATTCAGACAAGCAACGGCTGCAGGTTTTCTCCGCGGAAGGCATCGAGTTAGGGGACTCAATCTTAACAACCCAAAATCCAAGTCATTAACGTTTCAGAATCTACTAGGATAACATCTTGGATCTACAGAACGAACATCTGCTAAGAGGTTTCAGGGAAATTAAATGAGACATCCAGGCACCTGGCTAACACAATGGCTGCCATTCCCTGATTTCCGCAATAAGCGAAGAAAATGATGTATTTCTGCAAGACGGAGAAATTCATTTTAGCCTAGCCTGTGGAAGGAACTTAAAGCCATCAAAAGCATTACATGCATATACTATACATTTACATACATCAGGGGTTTCCAAACTTGGCCCCTTTAAGACTTGTGGACTTCAACTCCCAGAATTCCCCGGAACTAATGCATTCCTTTTTGATATGTCTATCCAGTATAGCCTGATTGCTCTCTTGTAATCCCTTCCTCTGCAACCTCTCTGCTGTAGCCTGTTTACTCTCTTGTAATCCCTTCCTCTGCAATCTCTCTGCTGTAGCCTGTTTACTCTCTTGTAATCCCTTCCTCTGCAATCTCTCTGCTGTAGCCTGTTTACTCTCTTGTAATCCCTTCCTCTGCAATCTCTCTGTTGTAGCCTGTTTACTCTCTTGTAATCCCTTCCTCTGCAATCTCTCCACTCTAGGGGCTAGGAGAAAAAAAAAACAGGCATGGCTGGGTGAGGAATTCTGGGAGTTGAAGCCCACAAGTCTTAAAGGGGCCGAGTTTGGAGACCCCTGATTTATATTCACAGAAGAGAATATTTGTAGCTCAGAGTTGAACTGTGGGGCCCTTGGTGCTCTCCGAGTTTGGTTGTTTTCTGGCAGAGAAACAAGCTAACAGTAAACAACAGCCCAATTAAGGAACCACTAAGAACACTCCCATCATCCTGGACAGGGATGCCTGCTATTTGCCCTTTTAGACCAGTTTCTTTATTTCTTTAATAAAGAAATAAAGGTGATGACTTGGAGATTCTCAAGTCATCCAGGTCATGCTTGTCCCAAAGGTGCTTTTTTCCCGCAAGGACAACTGGACTTTTTTGGTTTTTCTTTGAAGGTGTTTTCCTTCTCATCCAAGAAGCTTCTTCAGCTCTGACTGGATGGTGGGGAAATGGAATTCTTCAGCCACGCCCACAGAACCGGTAATAACAAATTTTACATTTCACCACTGGAGTCAAGCTATTCTCCAAAGCACCTGAGGGTAGAACAAGAAGCAATGGATGGAAACTCATCAAGGAGAGAAGCAACTTAGAACTAAGGAGAAATTTCCTGACATTTAGAACAATTAACCAGTGGAACAACTGGCCTCCAGAAGTTGTGAATGCTCCAACACTGGAAATTGGAGCGGTGTAGGGTTTCCTGCCTAAGCAGGGGGTTGGACTAAAAGAGCTCCAAGGTCCCTTCCAACTATTCTATTCTATTCTATTCTATTCTATTCTATTCTATTCTATTCTATTCTATTCTATTCTATTCTATTCTATTCTATTCTATTCTTATTCTTATTCTTATTCTTATTCTTCTTTATTCTTATTCCCAGGTCTGAGTGGTTTCGGAATTAACAGTGTCAATGCGAACCCAACACTGCAGAATAACATTTTAAGAAGTGTGACGCAGCTGAGGCAGCTGAACTAAGATGCAGAAGCCTAGATACTCAAAAAAAGTAAGCAAGAAATAGACCAACAAACACTTTACAGAATATGGGAAAGGGGGCAGAGGACCCCAATCGAAGCCACCTAGGAAATATTCTCTAATAGTTATTTTTAGGACCTAAAGCCGATTCAAACTGGGGAAAAAGAAACTTCCTGCAGCTCCTCAAAGGACCAGGGCTTTTGAGAACTGTAAAATACTTTTACAGTGAGTTGAGGGAGCTATAAAATACAGCAGTGCTAACAGTTTGCCCGCAGGATACTAATCCAACATAGTGCTGAGTATTCATTTTGTTCCAAAGTGGGAGGAAGGTCACAGCGACTCGTGTTCATGCTAGAAAAATCCCCTGGTTTAAACTGACAACTGAAGCTAGGCAGGGAGGATGTGATGGCAGCACATGGGAATATGGAACCGATGCATAAAAAATGGTAATTCCCCCATAGTCTTCCCTATAGATAGGCCACAAAAGCCTATTCCTCGTTTGGCAGAGAAGTTTCTTGAGTAAAAAAACTCTGTTTTGTGGAAATAAGCAATAATACTTGCATCCTAACGGTGCCCACTCTATTACCGGCAGTTCTCGGCTTATGGCCACAATTGAGCCCCAAATTTCTGTTGCTATGTGAAAGTTGTTCAGTGAATTTTGCCCCACTTTCTTGCCACAGCTGTTAAATGAATCATTGCCGTTATTAAGTTAGTAACACAGTTGTTAAGTGAATCTGGCTCCCCTGTTGGCTGGTTCTCAGAAGGTTGCAAAAGGGGATCACGTGACCCCAGAACATTGCAACCGTCGTAACTATGAGTCAGTTGCCAAGCGTCCGAATTTTGATCCCATGGCCACGGGGATGCTGCAACGGTTATAAATATGATAAGCGGTGATACCTCACTTTTTTCAGTGCCATTGTGATTTCGAGGAGTCACTAAATGAACTGTTGTAAGTCAAGGACTACCTGTGTTAGCCTTCAGAAGCAAAAAGTATTTTGCTTTCAAGAGGCAAGAAGCAGGATTTACAGGGAAAATTTGGCAGAATACAGGTAGTCCTCGACTTACAACAGTTCACTTAGTGACCATTTGAAGTTACGACGACACTGAAAAAAGGGACTTACGACTGATTTCATTCTTATGACCAAGTAAGTTAAGTAGCCTTAAGTAGTTAAGTTTGGCAACTGACATGAGTCAGTTATGACTGTCGCAGTGTCCCGGGATCCCCTTTTGCGACCTTCGCACAAGCCAAATCAATAGGGAAGCCAGATTTGCTTAACAACCGTGTTACTAACAACCTAAAAGTGCGTATAGTCAAGGCGATGGTTTTCCCAGTTGCAATGGATGGCTGTGAAAGTTGGACCATAAGGAAGGCTGAGCACCAAAGAATGGAGGCCTTTGAACTATGGTGTTGGAGAAGACTCCTGCGAGTCCCTTGGACTGCAAGGCGATCCAGCCGGTCAGTCCTAGAGGAGATCAACCCTGACTGCTCTTTAGAAGGCCAGATCCTGAAGAGGAAACTCAAATGCTTTGGCCACCTAATGAGAAGGAAGGACTCCCTGGAGAAGAGCCTAATGCTGGGAAAGATGGAGGGCAAAAGAAGAAGGGGACGACAGAGAATGAGGTGGCTGGATGGAGTCACTGAAGCAGTAGGCGTGAGCTTAAATGGACTCTAGAGGATGGTAGAGGACAGGAAGGCCTGGAGGAACGTTGTCCATGGGGTTGCGATGGGTCGGATACGACTTCGCAACTAACAAGAACAACAACTAACTTAACCACTGCAGGGATTCACTTAACAACGGTGGCGAGGAAGGTGATCAAACGGAGCAAGACTCGCTTAACAAACGCCTCACTTACCAACAGATATTTTGGGCTCTGCCGCGGTCGTAAGTCGAGGACTAGCTGCGCAAGACAACTCACCCAAGATGAGCCCGACCATGGAGCTCAGGTAACCGGTACCGCTTCCTAGGTTCAAGAAGGAGAGTCCAGGCTGCAGGTCCAGGGCTTCCATGACTTCAGAGTAAATGCAGGGGGCAGAGAGATGGATGTTCCCATGTTTCCAGGCCAAATCTTTGTAGGCGTTCTCCTTGAATTCCTCCAGGTAATAGTCAGCCCGGTCGACTGCCCTGAAGGCCTGTTCTACCAGCTCCGACCGAATGTACTGAGCCTCCTTCAGGTTATCGATCAACTCGTCGTTGTCTTCTCCCGCGCTCACTGCCCCTCCCATCGTCCACGCCGGTTCCAAAAGAATCAAGCCTGGATCACGGAAGAAGCGGAAAAAAGTATTATTAGTGAGAAGTCTGTAAAGCAGGGGTGTCAAACTCGATTTCATTGAGAGGCGCATCAGGGTTGTGTTTGACCTCGGGGACCAGGGTGGGTGTGGCCAGCTTGACGTCACTCGTGTTGGGGGCGCCTGTGGTGGCCCGAGCGCTCTGCCAGTGAAAACGGGCTCCCGAGCTCTTTTTAGCTGCGACGCACTCCTGCAACCCTCTGCCAGCGAAAACGGAGCTCAGGGAGGCAATGTCCAGGTCCTCACGAGCTCTGTTTTTGCTGGCAGAAGCATCGTGGGCCGGTCCTTTGCTGTTTCCAGGGCGGCCCAGCGGGTCAGATCTAAGCACCCCGCGAGCCGGATCTGGCACCTGGACCTTGAGTTTGACATCCCTGCTGTAGAGATTCTCAGTCATCCAGGCCATGGTTGTAGTCCGCCAGCAGCCTACGGAGCTGGCAGCAGAGTCGGACAGTGAGGAGGCTGGGGAGGAACATGGGCCAGTCCTGGAGTCTGTGGAAGGCCCGGATGGGGCCAGGACCATCTGGGAGTGATGCGCCGACTCCGGAGCCCCCAGAGTCGGACAGCAGAGAGGCAGAGGAACAGGAGGAGCCTGTTCCTAGTGCACGCATGCGCAGAGCTGCCAGAAGGCAAGAGCAGCTAAAGCAAAAGGGACAACTCGGGAGTAAGGCCAGGAGATTATTGGCCCCTCCCATAAGGCTTAAAAGAGAAACAAAGGCACTTGGGCCTTTTGCAGGAAATCAACGTTGCTAATTCTGTTTCCAGTCAGCATCTCCTGTTTGTTTCTGAACTCCGTGGGGCTTTGCCAAGTAAGGCTGTTGTATATACTAAACACACACGCACAAACCTTGTTAATTATAGCCCTCTTTCTTACCAGAGATTTCCCCTTAAAAATCACAGAAATACAGAAATGTGAATTCCAGTTGACCTTTGACCTGGCATTTCACCCCCCCCCCCTTGAGCGTGTGCTTTTGTGAAGGAACGGAGTACAGAAGTGTGACAATCTGTGTTATCAATGCTTTAAAACTAATCCTCCAATTTATGACCTTCACGGGTCTGTAAAGCAAAGAAGAGTTGAAGTAAAATCAAAGCACAGCCAGGGTTTCACTTAGTGACTGCTTTGCTTAATGACTGCATTGTTAGTCCCAGTTATGGTTGCTAAACGAGGACTAATGGTATTTTTCCTGAAACAGTCTTGAAGTATATAAAGTTTGTTCCTGGACCTCTTTGTAGAGGAGATGGACTCCTCCCACACCAACCATTCCAAAAGTCCCCCAAATTCCAGTTGTCTTAATAGGCATGTCTGAATATAGGTAGTCCTTGACTTACAACAGTTCATTTAGTGACCGTTTGTAGTTACAACGGCACTGAAAAAAGTAACTTATGACCGGTGGTGAAATTCAAATTGTTTTACTACCGGCTTGATGGCATTGGCTTGGTGGGCATGGCAGGGGAAGCATACTGCAAAATCTCCATTCCCACCCCACTTTGAGGCCAGCCAGAGGTGGTATTTGCCTGTTCTCCAAACTACTCAAAATTTCTGCTACTGGTTCTCCAGAACCTGTCAGAACCTGCTGGATTTCACCCGCTTATGACCCTTTTTCACACTTATGAGTATTGTGTCATCCCTATGACTCACTGACTCACATTTATAACGGTTGCAGCATCCTGGGGTCACGCAATCCTCTTTTGCAACCTTCTGACAAGCAAAGTCAACGGGGAAGCCAGATTCACTTAACAACGGTTTTACTAACTTAACAACGGCAGTGATTCACTTAACAAATGTGTCAAAAAAAGTGCCATAAAATGGGGAAAAATTCCATTAACAAATTTCTCACTTAACAACATACATTTTGGACTCAGTTGTGGTCATAAGTTGAGGACCACCTGTAGTAGCAATGAGACTTTATAATTGAATGCATAATTACACTTAAAATTACACAGGATCACCCAAAGAATTAAAAATGATGGAAAAGCACGTATCTGTTGATCAATCTGAAAATAGGAATTTGGCAACAGAGGTCAAAGATTGGTACAAAATTCTACTATACAAATATGCTATGTGTTCAGTGTTGCTTGGATCCTTGCCTTAAAACACATGCAACCTCAAATCCAATATTTCAACCAGAAATCCTCTTAACCAAAATATTCTTAAATAATTGTCTTAACTGGGGTCATTGTAAGTATCACATTAAAAATCTTACATACTCTTTTTTTCATGCCGGTTCTAATGAGCGAGCACTTTGTAATACCAAGTGGCATTTAGATAGACTGTTAATAATACATATAGGAAAGAGAGCAGGGGAATTTTAATTACAGTATTTTGCTCTTCTAGTAAGACTTGTAGAAGCAGACAACCTGGTTTTTAGTTCCCTGTTTAACATGTTTTACTTTGGCATGTGTTTAGGAAAACCAATAACCCACTTGTATATATCAAAACTGTATCAATAAAATAAAACACACTGCAAAATCTAAATGGGAAATTACCACTTCAGCAGAGTTCTTATTGAACACTTGGTACTGTATTTAGGTGGACTTTGGATAATCTGCAAAACAACAACTACCAAAAAAAAAAAAAAAAAGTATGCGCCAAGATACCTCTTTGTTAGATTTATACACCAAACTTTCTGCAGGAGGCCAAACAGAATTAACTGTTTCTTATCATAACAACAATCTTATAAGGTAGGATAAGCTGAAAGTGTATGATTGGTCCAAAGTCACCAACAGAGAAAATAGAATCTGAGGGCGAAAGAAGATACTGTTTATAGAAATAAGAATAGAAATATTAAGATTTGATTTAAAATATGGGAAAAGAACACTTTGGCAGAAATTGTAACTAAGTAAAATATATTTGGATATGATAAGTTGTATATGATATGATATGATATGATATGATATGATATGATATGATATGATATGATATGGTCAATACTCTGTTTCATAAAATATGTGGTTGTGTATTGGGGGGGGAACAATAAAACTTGATTTAACCCCCCCCACCCAAAGTCACCAAGAGAGTTTCTACAGATGGAATTGAACCTGAACTATAGGTGGTCCTTGACCTACGACCGTCATAGAACCTTGCATGACGGTTGTAAGTCACGATGGTCATAAAGCATGACTGCATGTCACATGGCTGACCTGATGTTATGACCTTTTCACAGGGGTAGTTAAGCGAATGACCCAAGTCATTAAGCGAATCCAGTGTCATTAAGTTAAGCCTTGGTTGTTAAGTGAACAAAGATTTGCTCTGAAAGTGCCAGTTTTCAGCAAAACCGTCGTAAAAGAGAGTCACGTGTCTGCAGGACACTACAAATGGCCCAACATGGTCCATGTTGCCAAGCATGTGACGTTTGATGGAGGGATGACTGTCTGAACTTTGAATCGAGGCCGCAAGCCAGCCCCGAGGTAACTTTGCTGTAACTTTGAATAAAGGCAGTCCTCAACTTACGATCCCGAGCCCAAAATTTATGTTGTTAAGTGAGAAATTTCTTAAGAGTGAGCAGGTGGATTTGATTTAAATCAAGTTGATTTAAATCACAATTTAAATCATGATTTAAATCACTAGTAAAAAGGCTTGATTTAAATCAACTCGATTTAAATCATAATTTTTAAAGAGCAACTGTCATCTCTGCTACTCCTTTGACCCACTGTTGACTCACTGATAGTCCCAGCGTTGCAGAATATACAGCCTCATGCTACATAACTAAGCTCCATTTCATGCTGAATAAACTAAATTATTTATGTATCTTAAATAGAAAACTATCTTACGATAGATTTTTACCCCAAAAGTTTTTTATTAAAATAAATTCGATAAAAATAAAAAAAATCCGATTTAAATAAAAAAAATCCGATTTAAATAAAAAAAATCTGATTTTTTTGATTTTTTTAAAAAAATCATTGATTTTTATCCACCCCGAGAGTGAGTTTTGCCCTATATTATGACTTTTCTCGTCACATTTATCAAGGGAGACACTGTAGTTCTTAAATGAGTGACACGGTTGTTAAGTGAATCTGGCTTCCCCATTGACTTTGCTTGACAGGAGGTTGCAAAAAGGGATCACGTGACCCCCCCCCCCCCCAAGGACACTGTAGCCATCATAAATGTGAGTCAGTTGCCAAGCATCTGAATATAAAGCACAAGACCATCGGGGATGCTGCAACAGTCGTAAGTGTGAAAAACGGTCATAAGTCACTTTTTTCAGTGCCGTTGTAAACTTCAGACGGCCACTAAATGAACCGTTGTAAGTCGAGGACTACCTGCAGTTGCTAAAGAACTAGTCATCAGTTGAAGTACCTGTACTTGTTGGCAGATTTAAAAGGTACGGAGCAGGCTTGGTTTGTAACAAAACAGTATACCTTGTCTCTATCCGTGAGGTAAACCTGCATTTTTGGGAACTGACCTCCCTGTCTGGGCATGAACAGATGCAGAGCGGCTTGATAAGGGATAATCATGGCTTGAAATGAGGAGACTGTGAGGGATTTGTGGCTCTGACAGAACCTTCCCCAGGAGCTATACCTGCCCTAGAGATAATCGCATAAGCAGATCATCACCTATACGCTTCTGATAATAGCTAAATTCAACATTCAGGCCCAGAAAAATACCTCGGACTAACTTTAGGAATGGGCCAGAGAATGCCATGCTTCTCAATCCGGTCTTTGATTTGTTGATTTTATCATCTGACTGTATAGATAGGGCTGGGAGGCTCCCTTGATGGATCAATTCAGCAGCCTCTCTGGTTTAAATATTGTTTTTGCCACTGATGCCAGCTGGATGCCCTGGAACACTGGCCAGATAGGCAAAAAGGCTATCTATCCATCCATCCATCCATCCATCCATCCATCCATCCATCCATCCATCCATCCATCCATCCATCTATCTATCTATCTATCTATCTATCTATCTATCCGTCCATCCGTCCATCCATCCATTCACCTTATCTATCTTCTATCTACCTACCTACCTATCATCCATCCATCTCATCTACCTACCTACCTATTATCTATATCATCTATCTATCTATCTATCTATCTATCTATCTATCTATCTATCTATCTATCATCTACTTACCTATCATCCATCCATCCATCCATCTTCATTCCATCTTTATTTTTATAAGCAACTCAAAGCAGTGAACATACCCAAGACTCCTTCCTCCTCCTATTTTCTCCAGAACATCAATCCTGTGAGGTGCCTTGGGCTGAGAAAGAGTCATTGGTTCAAAGACACCCAGCTGACTTTCATGGCTCAGGTGGGACTAGAACTCACTGTCTCCTGATGATTGGCTCGAAGTCAGCCAGCCGACTTTCATAGGTAAGGTGGGTATAGAACTCATTGTCTCCTGGTAATTGGCTCAAAGTCATCCAGCTGATTTCATGCCTAAGGCGGGACTAGAACTCACTGACTCCTGGTGATTGGCTTGAAGTCACCCAGCTGATTTTATGCCTAAGGCGGGGCTAGAACTCACTCTCGCTTTCAAGCTTGGTGGCTTAACCACTGGACCAAACTGATATTGCTTTTTCCTTTCCTCATGAACGATTGTCTAATGTAATATACCTTCAAGTCTACCTTTCGCCACAAAGACTTGCGTCTGATGGCGAATTGAAAAGATTCTGAAGCATGTGTCACCTTTCTCTTCCCTTCCCTCTATCTCTACTCTCATATTAGAATAACACAATTGGAAAGGACTTTATGGGTCATCCAGTCCAAACACCCCCCTCCCCCTGCTTTGTTATCGAACGACCAGTTTCTAGAGGTGAAAATAAAAAAGGATCGCTTTCAAAGAAAATCAAACAAAAAACGGATATCAATAAAGGAGAATATTTATAGCTCGAGGAATGGAGGTTCCCAGTATTTGCACTCAGTCTCTTATGGATCCTGCAAAACACGGATCAAAATGAAGAGTCCTAAATGGGATTTAAGTAGTAATGCACCTCTTTCTAACATTCAACTGCCGGTGCTCCCTACAGCTTTAATGCTTACCGTCAGCACATATATTCGGAAGAGTCGAGTGGCTTCATTTTTAATTTACCGTCCGTTCTTCCCTGAGCAACCTATTCAAAGTCACAAAGATTCCCCCATGCGAAAGGACACGTGCTCCCTGGCCTGGCTGGTTCTCTTGTTACAGGGGCTATTAGCATGCTTCTGCATGCTTTGTTCAGCCACAACAAGAGATAATTGGTTTGCAGCCAACTCAGGGCACACTTAGTGAAAACAAGGACTCCTGCCTACGTTGCCCTATCGCTGAAGGGCTGTGTATCCCAGGGGGAAGGAGGGTGTGGAGGATAATGAATAGCTTTCTTCTGACAACAACACACTCATGTTGCAGCCCGGGCCTAGAACAGACAGCCCGATTTCCAAATATATATATTATCTGTTGTGTTTTCTTTTTCTGCTGTATATGACCATCACAATGCCTGGCATTTGCTCCATGCAGATCGACAAGAGTGCCAAAACTTTACTCCTTGGATTGGCAGCCCAGATGTTCCTTCTATTTACAGCAATGAAGTTGCGGGGCAGAACTTCGCCTATATTCGCAGGACGCAACTTGAAACAACGGAAGCGATTTTCGCTCTGAAAGGAAACGCTTGGCTTTTTTTCAAAGCGAACAGCCCCGTTTCAGAGAAATCAAAGGTACTTTCAGAAGGAAAGTCCAAGCGCAAACACTCAAAAGATACTGCCTAGCCATTCTGAACAAGGTTTGTGGGCATACAGGATTTTCTTAAACTTACATTCAAAGATACACCACTACTGAAAAAAAAAATGACTATTTTTCACTTACAAATACCACCGCAACATCCCCACGATCACATGATCAAGATTCAGATGCTTGGCAACCGATTCATATTTAATGATGGTTGCATTGTCCCGGGATCGTGTGATTCCTTTTTGTGACCTTCTGACAAGCAACGTCGACGAAGAAGCCAGATTCCCTTAACAACCTGTGTTGCTAACTTTAACCACTGCAGTCATTCCCTTAGCAGCGGAAACCTTCAAACAAGGCAAAATTCAGTGAACAACTGTGTCGTTTAGCCACAGAAATTTTAGGCTCAGTGGTGGTCGTTAAATCGAGGACTACTTTATACAGGAATGCATGTGATTAGGCATCGTGAGAAAACGCATCATCTTCAAATGCCCGGTAAAATTGTGGGGGTACTTTTTAGAAACGGCAGGGAAGCATCACCACAAGGCAAAAGTTGCAAAAGTTGCAAGACTGTATTAACAGCCACTTTCACCGTGACAAGGATTTTTGAGGATTGAAAACCAGGATAAATATTTACCTATCTCCAGTATGCGAGATAAGGGGAAAGCTTTGGGGGGGGGGGGGGTTCGGTATTTTGAATATAGGGCAGAAGAAAGTTGCCAATCTTTTTCTCCATAAGCAAACAACACATCGCCAGGAAAGATTAACAGATTAACACAGTTGGAAGGGACCTTATAGGTCATCTAGTCCAACCCCTCCCTCCCTCCGCCGAAGCAGGAGACCCTACACCATTTCTGACAAATGGCAGTCCAATCTTTCCTTGAAACTAAGACAAACTTGAAAGAAACTAAGGCAAAGGCTTACTTCAAGAGAGAGAAATGGGACAGTAATTTTGGTGCGTATGCTTGATGTTAATCTACACCAGGGGTCTCCAACCTTGGCAACTTTAAGCCTGGCGGACTTCAACTCCCAGAATTCCCCAGCCAGCAAAGCAAAGCTGGCTGGGGAATTCTGGGAGTTGAAGTCCGCCAGGCTTAAAGTTGCCAAGGTTGGAGACCCCCGCTCTACACTACCAAAATGGTTGTGAACCAGCCAGCCTTTCCGGATCTCCAAATATGTGGAACAACTTCCAGACTTCTCAGCAAAGGCTGGTTGGGGGGGATGCTGGTAGCCAAATCTCCCACATCTGGAGAGCCTCTCAGGTTGAGAAACATCTGTTAAGAAGAAACGCCAAAGTCCCATTCACTGCCAGCCATTTATTAACCTAATAAAAGAAGCTTGCTTAGATGAAGATGTGACACACAGAAAAACAATCCTAACCAGCAGTCAAAATTTATACCGAAAAGGCTGCAGGGCAACTCACAAAAAAACCCAGCAGGGCATTATTTCCAGAGTAATCTTTTCAAGCGCCTTTTGAAGGGTTCACCAGGATGAGGGGAGATTTCCAGATATGGGGGGGCGACTACTCCCCTACGATGCACAGCCAGTATGGCAAGCTGGGCACTGTGGGAATCCTGAGTGGGGAATCCACCCCTCCCATGATGCACAGCCAGAATGGGAAGCTGGGCATCGTGGGAATCTTTAGCAGGGTATCTCCTCCCCATAATGCACAGCTGGTATAGGAGTCTAGGGCACTAAAGGGAATGCCTAGCAGGGAATCCCACCTCCTATGATGCACAGCCAGGATGGGAGGTTGGGAATCATAGGAAGGAATCCCTAGCAAGGACTCTCCTGCCCATAATGCACAGCCAGTATGGGAGTCTGGGGCACTAAGGGAATGCCTAGCAGGGAATCCCACCTCCTATGACGCACAGCCAGAATGGGAGGTTGGGAACCATAGGAAGGAATTCCTAGCAGGGACTCTCCTGCCCATAATGCACAGCCAATATGGGAGTCTGGGGCACTAAAGTCAATGCCTAGCAGGGAATCCCACCTCCTATGATGCACAGCCAGGATGGCAAACTGGGTACTAAGGGAATCCCTAGCAGGGAATCCTCCCACCCATGGTGCACAGCCAGCATGGCATGCAGGGCACCATGGGAATCACCAGCAGACGAGAGGCTCTTTTGGTTCCTGGCCTTGGGCCCAGCACCCCTCTGGAGTGCAACTCCTTTCCTATCATGCCCCACCGACCCTGGCCAAGGATGATGGGTCCTGTGGTCCAACCTCTGTGCAGGGGGGCGCCAGAGCTGTTCCACCCTCTCCCCTCCCGGAGGAAAAGGGGAGAGAGGGCTCACCCCGCAGAAGCTGGGGCGGGAGGGGGGGGAGGCTGTTGCTAGGGGGGCAGAAAGGGGCGGGGGAGGCTGTTGCTAGGGGGGCAGAAAGGGGCGGGGCCTGGCACGAGCGAGGGGGGGCTCCCTCCCCCGGCCTGCCGTCACTCGAGGACGGAGGGAGCCCCGAGGAAGAACAGCCGGCGCAGCTCTACCTGTTCCTCCAGCGCCAGCCGCCTCCGCCGGCCCTCCGAGCCGCCAAACTCTCACCCCGCCCGCCCAGCCACAAGCCGCGTCCCACGGCTGTAAACAGAAGCCCAGCTGGCCAAACAGCCCCCCCTCAGGGCAGCGCCACTGCGCAGGCGCCGCCGCCAGAGCGCCTCTGACGTCACACGCCGGACGAGGCAGAGAGGGAGGGAGGCAGGCAGGCAGCGAGGGAACGTACCATGTGGGCCGAAAGGGAAGGGGGCCGAAGAGAAGGGTCCACCGTTGTCTTACGCGGGGGTGTCTGTGCGAGCACAGGTTTGGCAGAGAAGGAGGGGGAGGCGTCTGGATGCCAAGCGGAAAGGAGGCTAGGATTGATTGATTGATTAATAAATTACTCTCAGTCTTCCAATATTTGAGGGGCTGCCACAGAGAGGAAGGGGTCAAGCTATTTTCCAAAGCACACAAGGAAGAATGGATGGAAACTGATCAAGGAGAGATTCAACCTGGAAATAAAGGAGAAATTTTCTGACCGTGAGAGCAATCAGTCAATGGATCAGAAGTTGCCTTCAGAAGTTGTGGGAGCTTCATCACTGGAGGCTTTCAAGAAGAGACTGGACAGCCATCTCTCAGAAATGGTGTAGGGTCTCCTCCTTGGGCGGGGTTGGGGGGTTGGGGTTGGACTAGATGACCTACAAGCTCCCTTCCGACCCTGTTAATCTGTTATTAATCCATGTAGTCCCCAACGTATCATGTATGGTTGCCAGATGTCCACTATTTGAGCGGACAGTCCGCTTTTTTCACATTATGTTCACGATTTTTTTTCACAAAATAGTGGACATTTTTTTTATTCAAAAGCTTTATGATGAAATTAAAGTGTAATTTAATATTTTACATATTATTATAATATATTTGATGTTTTGAATTTTAAGTAAAGTTTTGAAGTGATTATTTTAATACGTGTTAACATGTTTGTAAGAAAATATATAATTTAATTGTAATTTTTTTTTTTTACTACTTAACCCCCCCCCCTTCCCCGCTTGCCCGCTATTTTTTGGAAGCAGACCTGGCAACCCTAAACGTATGACCAGAATTGAGCCCCAAATTTATGTTATTAAGTGAGTTTGCTCCATTTTACAGCTGTTCTCATCACATTTGTTTAGTGAATCCCTGCAGTTTTTAAATTAGTAACACGGTTGTTAAGTGAAACTGGCTTCCTCATTGACTTTGTCAGAAGGCCGCAAAAAGGGTCATCTAGTCCAACCCCCGGCCCAAGGAGACCCTGCCTACACCATTTCTGACCAATGACAGTCCAGTCTCTTCTTGAAAGCCTCCAGTGATGAAGCTCCCACAACTTCTGAAGACAAGCTGTTGACTGCTCTTACGGTCAGAAAATAAGGAGATTCAACCTCCTTATTGCTAGGTTGAATCTCTCCTTTATCAGTTTCCATTCATTATTCCTTGTCTGGCTTTCAGGTGCTTTGGAAAATAGCTTGACCCCTTCTTCTCAGTGGCAGCCCCTCAAGTATTGGAAGGCTGCTATCATGTCTCCCCTGGTCCTTCTCTTCACTAGACCAGCCATGCCAACTTCCTGCAACTGTTCTTCATAGTTTTAGTCTTTAGTTTTAGTTTAGTCTCCAGTCCCCTAATCATCCTGGTTGCTCTTCTCTGCACTCTTTCTAGAGTCTCAACATCTTGTTTTACAGTATGGTGACCAAAACTGGATGCAGTACTCTAGGTGTGGTCTTACTAAGGCTTTATAGTGTGATATTAGCACCTCCCTTGATCTTGATTGTATCCCTCTGTTAATGCAATTTAGGATTGCATTGGCTTTTTTGGCTGCCGCCACACACTGTTGGCTCCTATTTAATTGGTTGCCCACTAAGACTCAAGATCCCTCTCACAGTTACTACTATTAAGCCTGGTTTCACCCAGTCTATATGTGTACTTTTTTTCCAAGCTCTTCTTAAAATCCTCCAGTGATGGAGCACCCAGAACTTCTGGAGCCGAGTTGATTGATTCCCGTGGAATCAATTCTTTGCCAGTGAACAATTTTTAACTAAGAAATTGAGGATGAATCCATGGGCAATATTCTTAGGATTGAATCCCCTTCCCTGCAATTGTGGTTAGGATACAGACAGTCCTCGACTTAACGACCGGCCATTTAATGACTGTTCATAATTACGATGGACTTATGACTCGGATCCAAAGTTTCCGAGAATCGAGCCCCTTCTTTAGTCATGTGACCAAATGGGGCTCAGCAACATGGCTGCATTTACGGTGATTTGAGGCTCCATGCAGTCATGTAACTTCTTTACGATGGTTTTGCTACCAATTGACATTTATTGTTGGTTTTTGGAAAAACCGCACCTGTTGTAAACCATCAGCTACCGCAGTGGCCACTTTACGACTGCTGTAAATTGCCACTGCGACCCCCCCCATTATAAAATCACATGACCGGCCCGTTTTACAACCGGTATGACTTATGATCATAATGATCAACACTCAAAACCGTAGAAATGGCGGTAGACTTCAGGAGAAACCTTTCCATACTTCCACCTCTCACAATACGAGACAACACAGTACCAACAGATTGCAAGATCTAAAATGGACCGCTAACATCAAAAACGTCATCAAAAAAACACAACAAAGAATGTTCTTTCTGCACCAACTCAGAAAGCTCAAAACTGCCCATGGAGCTGCTGATCCAGTTCTACAGAGGAATTATTGAGTCCGTCATCTGCACCTCCATAACTGTCTGGTTTGGCTCTGCAACCCAACAAGACAGACACAGACTTCAGAGGATAATTAGAACTGCAGAAAAAACAATGGCTGCCAACCTGCCTTCCATGGAGGACCTGTATATTGCACGAGTCAAAAAGAAGGCTGTGAAAATATCTACAGACCCCTCGCATCCTGGACATAAACTGTTTCAACTCCTACCCTCAAAACGAGGCTATAGAGCACCACACAACTAGACACAAGAACAGATTTTTCCCGAACGCCATCACTCAGCTAAACAAATAATTCCTTCAACACTGTCAAACTATTTACTAAATCTGCACTACTATTAATCTTCTCATTGTTCCCACCACCCATCTCCTTCCACTTATAGTCATATGACTGTAACCTTGTTGCTGGTATCCTTACGATTTATATTGATATTGTTTCCAGATTGCTTATTCATACCCTACGACTATCATTAAGTGTTGTACCTTATGATTCTTGAGGAACGTATCTCTTCTTTTATGTACACCGAGAGCGTATGCACCAAGGCAAATTCCTTGTGTGTCCAATCACACTTGGCCAATCAAGAATTCTATTCTGTTCTATTCTAATGAGTGGGCTCTATGATGTTCGTATGTCACGGACTCTTGTACAGGCTTCCTTTGGATCTGAATGGCACCCTGCAGTTTTGCTCTGGCAAAGCAATTTTAAACGCTCTATTGTTCTATCACGCCTCTGCTCCCTATCATTGTTCAGTCCCTGGAGATCTGTAATACGTCACACACTTTTCTAAAAATTAGAGATGAATGAACAGTTCCATACACGTCATTGCCTTGGCAGTTGTTCTGATAAACAGATCAATTTTAAAGTTCCCAGTTCTAGGTGTTTGTTTTAGAAACAATGGATTATTGAGGATTTGAAGAGGCTGGAATGATATTTATGATAACCTCCAGCATAGCCTGTGTATGACGCATGAGGGCTTCAGGCTTTTATTCCTGAGTTCACTACAGGTAGTCCTCGACTTACGACCACAGATGGGAGCAGAGGTTCTGTTGCTAAGCAAGGCGGTAACCCTCGATGTACAATAGCTTGTTTAGTGACCGTTCGAAGTTACAACAGCACTAAAAAAAAGTGACTTCTCTTCTGACCGTTTTTCACAGTTATGACCACTGCAGCCTCCCTGGGGACATGTGATCGAAATTCAGACACTTGGCAACTGACTCATATTTATGACGGTTGCAGTGTCCTGGAGTCCTGTGATCCCATTTTGCGACCTTCTGATAAGCAAAGTCAATGGGGAAGCCGGGTTCACTTAACAACCATGCTATTAACAACTGCAGTGATTCATTTAACAACTCTGGCAAGAAAGGTCATTAAATGAGGCAAAACCCACTCAACAAATATTCTCACTTAAGAACAGAAATTTTGGGCTCTGTTAGGGTCGTAAGTGGAGGACTACCTGTATTAAGTCGCCCACACTTAGCAAAGGAAACTTTGGGTTTGATTGTGGCCATAACCTGAGGACTACCTAGATATCCCTACATGGATAAATAGGTTTTGATTTTCACTGATGCCTCTTACTGCCAACAGGTTATTTCTGTTCCAATCCTTAGGCAAAGAGCCCTGAAGAGAAAATGATTACAGATGGTCCTTGACTTACGAAAGCAATTGAGCCCAAAGTTTCTGTCATTAAGCGAGACACTTGTTAAGTGAGTTTTGCCCCATTTTATGATCTCTCTCGCCACAATTGTTAAGTGAATCACTGCAGTTGGCTAAGTTAGTAACACGGCTGTTAAGTGGCTTCCTGTTCTGCCCCAGCTACGGACCAGAAAGAATGCAGCACACACAAAGTCTGTACAAAGCTTAGTTTACTAAATTAAATCAGTCTTTTTCAAATAAAGGCTATTAATTAACTTTCTTAACAGTCTACAAGAATCCAAAGAATAAATAATTGTAATCTTACTATGGTTGGCAGAAAGCCCAGAAGCAATTTGCAGGAAACGATAAAAGAACTAAGATCAAGACGCGAAGGAGAGTGAACAAAGTTGTTCCCTGCAAATTGCCTCAGTCATCGTCCTTCCTTAAATAGGCTAAGGGAGTGGCCAATTAGCCCCAAGCCTTACTCTCGAGGAGACCTCCTCCTGAGGATCCACTCCTGCCTTTTGGCAGCTCTGCGCGCCCGTGCTTCGAGAAGAGGCTCCTCCTCTTCTTCCTCTTCACTTATGGGAGCTTCTGGAGGTTCTGAAGGCCCTGGCTGAATCCCCGCCTCTGGCACCACATCTTCTCCAGCCTCCTCACTGTCTGACTCGAGTGCCAGCTGCACAGGCTGTATTACTAGAATGGGGAGACAAAGAATGTTGCAGGTCCCGTCCCCTAAGAAGATACATCTGGTGGGACCCAGATGAAGGGCCTTC